CTAACACCAGTCAGCAGAGCGCTGCAGCCTCGAGCTTAGATTCTCGGTCTGTAGACTGGGCGGTGGTGCGGAACTTCAGCGCCGGCGGCTGGGTGAGCAGGTGAGGTCCGAGGCGGATGGGACTGGTCACAGCCGTGAACACGTGCACCGTCTTGCGAACCAAGGAGACTCTTCTTGACCGCGTGTTCAAGTGCTGGACCGTTCTCCCGTCAGGTCCCAACAAGGCTGTCGGGCGAGGTGGACAGGCGACGGCGACGCAACTGTTTGACATGTGCTATTTGCAAAGCAATTTCCTACAGGCTTTGACCGTGGCCGAATGCTCTTTTGACGATGCTCTAGCCGTTGGTGGCTATTCAGAAGAACATTTCACGGAAAGACGTGAACAGCTGCGCAAATAAAGCCAGCATTGGGCTTAGCACATACATCGACCAGGAATGTGTGTTGTCCTGACGCCTCTTTTCACCGAGGTGTTCGGAAAGAGCCTGTCCTTTTGACGCCCTCAGCAGGACTTCTGGAGCAGCCAGCTCCTTTATCAATCGGAATCGTTCTGGCTACGTCGCTGGCAAGCGTCTGGTGTCGTGCTGTGAAATAAACAGCATGTCGTTCAATAAGTGAAAGGATGAGAAGTCAAACGTCAAGAAACGAAATGGCGAGAAGTCAAATGGCAAGAGACCAAACGGAATAAAAGTCATGCATAAAACGTCAAAAGCAAAGAGTCAGAGGCATTCAAGTAAACAGCCAAACATCATTTTGAGCACAAATTAACCCAAGCAAAAGTAAATTTCATCAAAAAGTCTGTTTTAGTAAAAAGCCTGCTCAAGCAAAAATGCAAGCTAAGTAAATAGTCGGAAAATGAAAGTCAAACGAAAAAAGCGGACTATCAGTAAAATGTGGATTGCATAGGGTGCGCGAAAGCACACCGGGTCCTTGACCAGTGGCTCGTCCAAGGGGTAAAGCCTCGCCTCCGCTTAGCCAGTGGGCTCCAGCCAATAAGCTGCCTCGTGACTACGCGGAAGGCGTAGAGGTGCCCTGAGTTTACATCAGAAGAGCCCTCCTTGCCATGTTGGATGTCTTGACGCGCGATTGCATTGCACCACCATCATTATCATCATTATTTATGTGCCGTCCCGTTGGACTAGATATAATGGAAGAACATACAACATATACGTACACCGGCACACATGAAATATACGTGGGCACCCCACAAATCCACACCTGAATGGTTATTATCGAGAGATATCTTATTATTTAAGTTTAGAGCAATTCAAGGGACTCACTCACACCGCACTTGGGCTACATTGCAAACTAGGCAGCTGTCTATCCACCCGCAGGCCCATTTCATTATACGGCCCCAATCTTGAAGGCAGAACAAAGACGCGAATATGCCAGAGCTTCCTGCAAGCTCACCCGGGCGGCAGACAGGCAAAGCTAGAGCCCTCAAAAGGGCTTGGCACGAGCGATGGGCAGAACGGAGAGCGAATCAGGCTGGAGGACTTTCTGAGCGCAGCAGATCGACCATCACCCTATATTCGCGGGACACGCAAAGCCCTGAGAAAGACCGTGTCGTCTATTCGCTGCGTGAATCCGACTGCTGCTTCTAATGCAGATACCCGCCAGGCCTCCATGCGCTCAATGTCCGGTGAAGTTACTACAGCTGGTGCACTCCCTAATGGAAGAGTCGCGGTCACCATGGTGTGTCACTTGAGGATCATTCAACAAGGATGCTGCCTTCAGGCGTCTCTCGTTCTTCCCCAAAGGTAAACTGCATCTCGCTTGGCGCCTCACTTGGTGAAAGCTATTGTCTTGGGCCTAGTTTGATAGCTATCTAGTGTACTTCGCTTGTTTGGGGAGTTCGGAGACCGCCATTCTACGAGGACTCTGGGACCTGGGGGGCCAGCGAAGCCTCATTTGTGGGATCACGGATGGCAATGGGTGCACATCTGAAGACCACGAGGTGCTTTTGATTTTTAAATTGGCTTTGTGAAACGTGCTTTGTTTTTGTCTCTTTTTTTGTTCAAAAAAGAAGCTCCGCTAACTATGAACAAAGATTAATTTAAAGTTAGTCACGTGGTTTTTCATGCATTCCGTACGTAGACATCTTAGAGGTTACAGTTCTTTCCAAGTGTGCTAAGGCTGGCTGCTCCACAACGGCCTCGTCTGTCGAAGTGGGAGGAGCCCACTGATGTGCCGACTCTTGACCTCCTGAAGGGACCTTCTGATCTAGAACAAGGCCTCCTGATTTATAGAGGGTGGCTCCTTAGCCGTAACGAGGGCCTTTTGACTTATAAAGAGGGGTGTGCCGAGTGAGCAACACCTCTCCGTCCCCTGATCCAGAGCAGAACCCAACCGGCTCATGAAGAATCCCTTCTGAACCCGAAAATTGGCCCCACCGTGCAGAAAAGTCTCCTGAATTCAATAAGGACCTGAAAGCTCAGTTCAAATCGGCGTATATGCCAGAGCTTGCTGGAAGCTCTGGCATATTCACGTCTTTGTTCTGCCTTCAAGATTGGGGCCGTATAGTGAATGGGCTTATTGGCGTCATGGGCTTACCAAACTGGGAGTAGCGAATGCAAGTTTTTGTCTCCTGGCCGAGACAAGGAAGGGGAAGCCACCCTCTCCCTTGCCCCCCCCCCCCCTAATGCTGCGCCACCCGCGACTCTGCCTACCACAAAACGGCCACATGTTTTCTATTGCCTGTAATGAGGCCCCTTGCTGGCAGGTAAAAAAGGTCCCAGCCTGCAAGCAAATGAGTTAAACGGGCCCGGAATTGGTCCAGAAGGGGCCCCGGGTGGTCAGCTGCGTGAGGATCCGTAGCCAAAATAACAATCCATCTTTCTTTTCATTCTCTCGGTTATTCTTCGAGTAATAAGGCTATAGTACTGTTTTATCTACATACATGTTGTTCCTCGCAAATGCATTTAACTTACGTAAAGACCATTTTCACTTCGTCGCTCTTCTCACTAAAGGACGTGATTGTGTCATGCAGCTAAGCGACTGATGACTTGTAAATATATATGACAACTCCAGTATTCTCAAAGCCTACGCGGTATATGCCCTATGTAAGATATCATAACCTTCTAGTAAGACCGAGGGGTCACAGGCACGTGAGTGTGGCCGTGTAGGGAAGGAGTCTGGTTGGGTATGGGAACATTTATCGCCATGCTGGTGAAAAATGTTATTAAATATCTGCGAGGTGTTTTAGCCGAAACCCGCTTGCAAAAGCTGTGTCGCTCATAAATCTCCTCATTAAGGCTCTGGATATTACTCGGATATGATACATGTAACAACTTCTTATTGTTATAGGAACAGGGGGCGTGAATAAAGTGCTTGGCAGGCCGATGTAGCATGCAGATGAAGCCAAGGTACGGGACGCTTAGGCTCATGGCCACTCTAAGGCCCGATTTTTTATTTTTTATTTTTTTGCTAGTTCAACAGATAAGTCCTGTGTCCGCTACCGGGTGCGGTTGTTTGGGACATTGAGCGTCCATAACTAGTTCCCGCCCAGTCACCGACCCGACAGTGCGCACCGAGCAGCCGGTTATCACACACGTGAATAGGTGCACCAGAAACAGTCCGGATCTTTTCAGAGCTTGCGTAGAGCGCTCCATGCCCTCGCGCGGACCCATGTAACTGTGTGGTCGGTATGATGACTACACCACTCCTAAGCGTCAGGAAGTAGCCTCACCCAAAGAAAGCTGATGCGGAAGTCTGCATGGCGCACGCGCCTGGTTCTCATCTAGGTCGAGGACATGTACCAGTACCAGTGCCTCAGATGGCAAAGTTGAAGTTAAGACGTGGTGCCCTCATAAAACGTCACAAAATCCCCGAAATGACGTCCACCCAAAGCAACGCCCATTGTTCACAGAAATATACTAAGCTACAGGCTCTCAAGACAATGCCTTGGACAAGCTGACCTGAAGCAAAGAGGGCTGCTCAACATGACGTTCTGGTGATTCGTAGCCAACATCCGCACACGGCCCTGACGTTGTTTTTAGATCGAAGACGAATGTTTTTTACGACCTTCTTGACAGGAGACCGGCCCTAGATTGAGTTAGGCTCGTTCGCTCCGCACCGTACATCGTTTATTGCCCGCAAATGACGGTCGAGTTTTTCAAACTGACAGCCATCGCCTCAAAAATTGGCAGACATCAGTTCCGATTTTCTTTCATGATGACGGCTGAAAAACACGGGCGAAGTGGATTTGGTTCAAACCGGCCTGTTAGCGTGCCGAATGTCGAATCAATGCAACCAGCGTCCTCGCATTTCACGCGTCGTAGGCGAGGCCGTTAGCGGCAACTTTTTGCTACCACTCCTTCATCCTCCAGCTGAGCTCTATTGTGCCCCGGACCCCGCGGCCTCCGCCGACCCCCAGCTCAACCAAGTGCCGTTTCTTTCATGCATGAGTTCACGTCGCCGTGCTGTGATTGGGCCGCCAGCTCCATTATTAGCTAGGTCAGGCGCACCGGGGGCCCACTGACAGCATGAACACACCCTCCTCGTCCGACAGTTGATCTTTTTTATGTCGACCAGACCATACCACCCAGCTGCCAATCCGTCTAAATTCTCACTCCCACCGCCAGGGAGCTCAAGTCACCATGCCACCATCGTCAGATAAGACCAGCTCAACATAACTTCCACCTGGGCGAGCTGGACCCCACACCTTTCAGGCCACCTACCACCCCCGATGTTTGCTTGACCCAGGCCTCCTGTCATTGTTGTAAGCCCAGACCACATCGGCATCGCCTGGGTCAGGTCAGACCGAATGGCAGCGTGCCGGTCGCCGATTCCGGCACCAGCTGCGAGGCGGCCGTTCTCCGGCCAGAACGCCGTCGGTGGGAGCTCCGTCGGCCGGCGCGCCACGCCTCCGGGCCGGGAGCAACGTCGGGGTGGCAGCCGACTCAGGCCGGCCGGCCGACGACAGTGCTGGCGCAGGCGGCGCCCGAATCGGATCGGGTGTGTGTGTGTGGTGGGTGAGCAGCACGGTGTCGCGTCGCCGCCGCCGGGAGGAACGCGCCGACACGCGGAGGCGCGGCGCAAAGTGCTTCAGCGGCGACCGTGCCACACGAGCCACAGGAGCCGCAGTGCCGACCGTCGGGGCGAGCGTCAGGGGCCGCCGGACGGGCCGGGCGCTGCGAGCACGCGCACTCTCTGATCCGGCCGCTGTGGCAAGGTAAGACCTTCAGCATTGCCAGAACAGCACCGCCAGCTGCCAACGCTCCAACGCGGACCGTCACGCTGCCGTCCTGCCTCTGGCTGTGCAGGCTGACGCGTCCGCGACCGCGGCGACGGCGACCAGCAGTGGCCCGCTCTATTCCGTGCGAAGCCTAGATTTCTGCACCGGAAGTGTTGTTTCTCTCTCCATTTAATCGGGCATCTACAAAGTTATTTTTACGGTATCTTGGTGTTACGGTATAACTCAGTTCCCTTGGTGAAAGAGTCAATCAAAGATTCATAAAAGACAGGCACAGGTGACGTCCGTCGAAGTTGGAGGAGTGACACGGAGCAAAGACACGAAAACGGAGTGCCGCAGGCACAGGTGACGTCCGTCGAAGTTGGAGGAGTGACACGGGGACAAAGACACGAAAACGGAGTGCCGCAGGCACAGGTGACGTCCGTCGAAGTTGGAGGAGTGACGCGGAGACAAAGACACGAAAACGGGGTGCCTTGGGAGAGATGTGGGCGAAAAGGCTATTCTATGCAGTTTGAGCTGTAAAAGGACTGTACGGCCAGATCGAGGTTAGCCAATATAAGTGGCACGCTAAGAACTTCCGAATCACGGGCCAGGCTTTGATGGCTCACGCATATTAATGTGCTTAATACAATGGTATGGTCCAGGGCGTGCGCCATGAAATCCTTCAGCCTGCATGGCTTATTGTTCATCATCGTTAAATAGCTGGAAATATGCACCCAAAAGAACAACCAGTGCGGTTGAGGAATGTGCCGGCGGAAGATAAATGATTCAGCAACACATTAAATGCGCTTCAGTGAACAACCAGGACAAGACCTGCGCTATCGTGACGAAATCCGTCGCCGGTATTCGAGTCTGAACGATTCCAACTGTCTCGCATGAAACGACTCTATGTGGCATGCAGGTGTAGAAACTAACCTGTTTTGAGCAACATCTTTGTAACGTCCAAATGGACATCTTAGTACGTCGAAAACTACCCGCCTCTTAGCTTCTCTCTTAAAACTTAAAGATTTCCACGCTACTAAAACCTTTTCTCACCTTATAGTTTATTTCTGCATGCAGGTAGCGTGGAAAAATCAACTGTTTTGAATAGTTGAGCTCCCACAATTTCACTTTTTTATCACAAGTTAACTTCACGCTGATCACAGACTGGTTTGGCAGAAAAAATGAGGAACTTTTCATTTCGCCGAGTGTCTCAGCGTCTTTTGTCGAAGTAGTCCCATGACAAGCTGATCACAGAAGGCTCCTTGCTTTAGCCGTGTATTTTAACTTGCATAAATGCGTGCAGTTAAAATCATTTTCTCACCGCACGCCTTGTTTACTGCCGGAATTGGCATGGTAGCAATCGTCAAGGACTTAGTTGAACGTATGATTGCACCTGTCGGAAGGGTTGAGTATCACAAAGAGCAAGCGATCTTTCAATACGTTTGAGTATCATCAGGACATAACATTCGTACGCAATGGAGCAAGGCTGCATTTAACAAACATCGCGAGGTTATATCGCCTACATCGTTCATGGCAAGAAAGGTAATGGTCACGGCTCGCACCAATATATATATATATATATATAATATATATATATATATATATATATATATATATATTACTACTGGATCGGGCAACATCCATGTTAAGTTACCACCGGATGTGTGCAATTGAAAGAGGAACATCAGCTGAAAAGTTGCATAGACCTAACCTGGCAAACGGGATCGGTTTTCACTATGTAGTATTATATATATATATATATATATATATATTCTACTGGTCGGGCAACATCATGTAAAAGATTGTGCATGGACCTAACCTGGCAAACGGGATCGGTTTTCACTATTGTATATAGTAATATATAATATATATAATATATATATATGTATATATATATATATATATATATATAGCTTATGTATATATAGTATTATATATATAGCCTATATATAGTTTTATATATATATGTATATATATATGTGTATATATATATATATATATATATATATATATATATATATATATATATACCCAAGTGCGGGCTTGTTGCGCCGAGCGACAGAGAATATTCTTCGAAAACGCATGAAAATGCCGCTCTATGGAGTTGGCTGGCGTTCTATGGACAAATATTTGCTTATTTCTGGATGAATTTAACACCACTTATAGGATTTCCTGGCTGATGCGACCTCTGGCTGACGGGATACCTGACAAGAACCGGATGTGACGCGCTGACTACCAGGGACGCATCTGGGTCATGGGAAGCGAACTTCATCTGTAAGCCAGCTTTTCATGCAGCCACATCGGCTGAATCGCCTACAACCTCTACGGAAATCTGCTGGCGACCGTTTGCCCCTTCCCGTTGATGAGTGTGCGTTCTAGGAAATGGTTGTTGCAAATGCCTGCAGAACTCGATTTCATCTGTTTGAAGAATAAATGTTATCCCACTGGGGTTGTGTTAATTAGAATCTGGGATAAACGCTGTCATAGCGCTTGTCAACGATTGTCCAGCTTTAAAATCTCGCTCTCCACATTGCTGCTGGGGCTGGAGTGTTTTTACGCATTACAGAAGCCTCAAGAAAATCTGCTTACTACCACTGCCAATGTCAGATCACTTTTATTTCGCAGTTGCCACTAGTCAGCGCCTCTGCAATTTTCTGCATTGTCACACTCAGTACTGTCTTTAAAACCCACATGCGTTTGACGGTCACCGTGGCTCACCTTTTTCGCCGCAACGAATAAATGTACTAACGATGAGTGACAACAGCCGGACGCCGATGACGTACGGCGCGTACACGTTTCGTCGTACTTCAGACAGTGTTCCACATTTGTGTGGGTTTTTGCACTGAAATACGCACTTTGAAGATCATTCGGTGCAGTTGAAAGCATTGCCCTTCACTAGGCCTAAAACCCTTTAGTTTCTGAGACACGTGCCCGGCAAGATGTACAGACTATGTCGTGCAGGCTATTTCAAGGCAATTCAAGCATGCATGACGCCATAGGAATGCCATTTAAATCCTGCCACTCCATTGGTCATGAGGCGTTCAAGGCCCAGAAGAATGTTAACGTCCAGCCCTTCAGATCTGGCGTCCTGCGAGCACGATTTCCAAATGTAGTGGACATCTATTGGCTCTCAATCATTGTTGAGCGATCTTGAGAGCCTTTGGTGATATGGTAGCAGTGACATAATAGTTGAATAAGTAAAGAATGCATTGAATGATAGTTTTGCACAAAAATTTAAATACTTTGATATTAATTCTGTCCGCCCCAATTCTCACATTGTTAAGCACTTTAATGACATTCACTTAATAAGTACTTAAATAACATAACAATTTTGAAATCCAATCTCTTGTCTGAGGAAAATAAAAGGTTTATCCCATGAGAATGCTAAAGCTTTGGATCGCTTTGCCACCCAGCCGAAGTTTTAGTAAGATCAGCACCAGTTCCAAATGGAGGATGCTTCTTCAACTCACCATTTCCAGTTGTCTGCCAGCAAACATTGTTGCATCCTTACACATAAACTTTTTCACCCGTTCGCGAAATGACTGTGATCTAAAGATGAGCGACCTACACTCGACATCCAGGAATCAATGGAAAAGTTTTCCTCCTGCAGTTAGCTGCCTGATGTGAGTCTTTGTTTGCGTCCTGCAAAAACTTGGCCTCAACTCTCAGTGACTTTGTTTGTTGTATATTCCACTCAATACAAAGCCCGGTATACTGGCCGTGTGAATGCCATCTGAAAGTCGTCCATTCATGCCTTAAACGGATTGTTCCACATGTGTCTGGGGCTTTGAACTGAGTTAGCCGTTTCGAAAATCATTCAGTGCAGTTCACAACCACGCCCTTGCTAGGGCTTAAAACCCTCGTGTTTCTATGCTTGACGCAAGGGAACTTGTGCACACTATTTCGGACAGACTTTTTCAGGGTCACCCAGATATTCCTGACGCCATACAAGCGTCACGCGTGTACGATCACCTCAGCGGCCATCTAGTGCTCAAGCCGAAGAACAAATGTGATTTTCGAACTATTCGCGTCTGGCGTGCCAACACGATTCGTGGTATCAGCGATCATCAGTTAACCTTACACCAGTTTGATGCGTTGAGTGCATGTCTCGAACACAAGCTCACGTTGTGTGCGGATATTCAGGAATTCGCGAGGTGGTACGAGTTATGATGGAAGTTATAATGATAATCAAATAGCTTAAATGGAACGTTCCACATTTGAAGATATCTGAGCGTGCATCACGTATGACGAAATAAGCCTTCTTATAACTAAAGATGTACTTTTAAGAGGAAAGGGTGCTCCAAACAACATATTCTCTTGTTTACTGTATATTATCCTCAATACGTCATTGTTTAATTACGTCATCGTATCTCGCTCAATATTGATTGAGAGCCCATTGCCGGCCGATATACCTGGAAATTGTGTTCGCAAACGCCAAATATGAAAGACTTGGCAATTTTATTGGTGTTGACCACCGTTTGGCCGATGGAATGGCCGGATTTGAATAACGTTATTATGGCGTCATGGATGCCTGGGCGACATATTCGTGGGTGTGTAGCTCAGACACTAGAAAGGTTTAGTTTTTAAGAAGGGCAGGGCTGTTAACTGCACCTAAATGACCAAGATGGCTGCTTTAGCTCAAAACCCCATGCAAATGTGGGACACTCTCTTTAAGAACAGCGTCAAAACTGGGATTGTGAATGCAAGTAAACAATATAAAATCACGGACAACTTAACAAGAACAGCAAAGACCAAGACACGCGCACATAAAGAAATGGTTCTCGCAAACATGCGCCAACTCGCGCGACACTCCTCGCCAGGTTTAAGTTTTACAGGTGGGTCAGCCCGTCCACTACTTTGGCAATCCTGACACGGTCGTCTGGCAGCGGCTCCCATGTGGCTTACTGCATCCTGTGTGATGCTTGAGCAGTCTGAGCAGACACGCCTGTCTGTGTCTGATGCCTTCTGATGCTCAAGCTGTTTCTCCCAGGATTAAG